TCCCCCCACGCCCTTCCCTGTGGAGCCCCCTACCCTCAGAACCCCCGGGTGGCACCACAGCCAGTGCGCAGGCTCCCCTGGGCCCCCGTGTGTGTCTCCTCAAACCCCGTTCTGTTTCAGAGCAGGGACCGGAGGCTGCGTTTCATGCGAGCCATGCACGGCCTCGCCCAGCTGACAGCTCGCCAGGTGGCCACGGCCTTCGACCTGTCCCGATTCACCTCTGCCTGTGACCTGGGAGGTGAGTACCCCGCGCGCCCCCCCCCCCCCGCCAGGCATCGGGTGCGCACGGCTCAGGGCACTTCTTGCGTTAGGTCGTGGCCACCTCATCTGCTGAGAAGACGTCCAAACCGGGTTTACGGCTTTACAAGCATAAGGCCAGGAATTTGGCTGTGGCGGGTGCCGGGACTTGGATGGACATCCCCAAGTCCAAGGAGGCCCTAGGGGTGGGTCCTAGAGGTTATGGGGCCCTTTCTGCTGGCTACCGATTTGGGGGAGAGGATCACAGAGCCGTCTGACTCCGTCTTGTCGGGTCTAATTATGCCCATATACCTGCCACCCTATTCCAACTCGCTCCTTACCCCAGGGCAGCAGACGTGAGCTGATGCCTGCCCAAGGGGTACAGTGGGATTAGGGGTCCCAGGGGGAGCCCAGAGCTGCTGGCTTTCATTTCCCTGCCACCTGCACACCGGTCCTCCTGGTGGCCCAGAGTGGCTGCTGTGGCGCCAGCCATGTCGTCCACATTCCAGCAGCGGAAAGGAGATGATAAGAGTGTGGCTTCCTCCCTTCCCACCTGGGCTCTGATGCTCCCTGTGTGCGTCTGCGCCTCCCCCCCCACCCCGCCCCCCACTGATGTGCGCTGGGCCAGCAAGGCCCCAAGGTCTGCATGAGACATCAGAGATCTCTGCCCGCCGCTGGCTTCGTTTCGCAGACCGGGCCTCCAGCCGTGTTCTCAGACCTCATTCTGGTTTTGCCAAGCGGCCATCTTGGAGACCCGCCAGGGGTGTGGTGCGCTGGGCGGGTCAGGTGACTGTGTGTGTGTGTGTGTGTGTGTGTGTGTGTGTGTGTATTTGTGTGTTTGCATCCCCGCAGGCTGCACAGGTGCGCTGGCCCGAGAGCTGGCCCGGGAGTACCCGCGTCTGAAGGTGACCGTGTTTGACCTCCCGGAGGTCATCGAGCACGTGTCGAGTTTTCACCCCGAGGGACGGCAGCCAGAGCGCCTCCGCTTTGTGCCAGGTAAACGCTGCTTTCTCTGCGCTCTGGGTCGGCGTTGGGCCGCGTGATATCTGTGTGTGTGTGTGGAAGCAGTCAGGGTGCGGGGGGGGGGGGGGCATTTTTTTTTTTGGGGGGGGGCGCGAGGGCGCAAGTGGGGGGGCATGCAAGGGGGCAGGAGGGGGGGTACGAGGGGGCAGGCAGGGGCGTGCGAGGGCGCAGGTGGGCGTCCACAGGTTCCACGACCAACCAAGGGCACGAAGGGACGTTACCCGAGAGCTGGCGCGGGAAAGCCTGAAGTCAGACGTGGTGGGGAACTTCCAGGGGCAGCTGTGAAGGCGGGAGCCGACCCGGCACTCGCGACCGCGGTGGCCCGGCCCGGGGCCGACGCGCCATGGGACCCGGGTTAGGACTGGAACGTGTTGGGGCTGGGGACACGGCATTTCTCGGAGCGGGGCGGACAGCGGCGCGGCCCCGTGTCCGCGCCGTGGAGCGCCAGCCCTGGTGTCCCCGACTCCCGACGTCTCCTGTTCCAACCAGGTGACTTTTTCAAGGACGACCTCCCGGACGCACAGCTGTACGTCCTTTCCAGAATTCTCCACGACTGGGCGGACGACAGAGTGCACGAGTTACTGAGCCGGGTGTCCCGCAGCTGCAAGCCAGGTGAGACCCCTGCCGCTGCGCGGCCTCCCTCCACTTGCAGAGAGGGAAAGGGAGGGTTTTACCCACAGCCAGGCGCCCCCTGCGCCCCCGCGCGCGCTCTGCCGGCCCCTGCGGACGTGCAAGAGGCGCCAGGAGGGCGGCCGCAGCTTTGGGACCGTCTCACCCGAGTCTCCCCATCCTGGCCGCAGGAAGTGCCGGCATCTGTGTTCTCAGGCTCGGAGGTTTCCCGGACGCCCCAGCCTGTGTCCCAGGGGGCCTGGAGCAGGGCATATCCAACCCCCGCCCGGGGGCCCCTTCCCAGGCCTCCGAGGTCCCAGTGGTGCAAAGCGCAGCTCGTATCCCCGTGCCCCGAGCGCCTGGTGACGTGTAAGACGCTTCTGTTACCTCCCCGTGCGGTTAGGGAACACGAAACAGCACTTCACTTTCCAGTTTGCCGGAAACAACCGTCATTTTTGGTCTCGTATTTTGCACAAAGAGTGAAGCAAGGGTCATGTGCAATCGTGTAGGTTGGGACTCCCCAAATCTGCAGGCAGCCGGAGACCTGGGACTAGTCCCAACACTGGCTGGAGGCAGAATTTCCTCCTCCGGGGGGGGACGGCGGTGTGTTTTCTCTTGAGGCCTTCAACTGATTAGACGTGGCCCACCCACGCCACGGAGGGCCAGCTGTTTTGCCCCAGGTCGCACATTTAGATGATAATCTCATCCAAAAGGCACCTTCACAGGACCATGCGGAATGATGCTCAACGATGATCTGGGCCCTGTGGCCCCGCCCCAACGAGTCATAACATGAGCCATGGCCCCAGTGCCCCCGTACCCAGCCCCTCCCCTGGAGGGCGCTGATGCCCTGCAGACCCGGGAAGCCCGTCTCTGCTTATCTGTGGCTCCTGGCTCAGCACCGGGCCCCGTGAGCAGGAAGCTGGGAAACCACCCATCCCGTATGGGGCACAAGCCGGTGTTTCAGGATGCTGGGGACCCAGGGACGAGCGTGTGTGGAAATGCAGTCACACACCAGGAACTGGCACCAGAAGCACCCAGGGTCCCTCAAGAGAAGCGTGGCTGTGTGATAAGTTCGCGGGAAACCTATTTGCACAGACGCCCAAATTCCTGGGTCACGTGTGGACGCGGAAAAGTCCCACAGACGTTTGTGGACTCGATGTGCCTGAAGCCCATCCCTGCCATTCCGAGGAGGCTCCTGGAGACGATCTGGGGGGAAGGAGAGACAGACGGCCCGGAATCGGTCACCAGAGCTGCTCGGGCGCGGGACAAGGTGGGGGCCCCAGGTGGCGGCCCAGGCGGGGATGAGGGAGGGGTGGGGACAGGCCCCGGGGGGCCGGACACTGAGAGACGGGGGCCCAGATGAGTTCTATCACGCGTCCCAGGGTTTGGAAACCGTATCGCAACGTGTTGGCAAATCTACCCGAGCGTTTGGGAACATATTGGAAGAGCTGCAGAGAAAATGAAGCAACTTCTTATGAAATGAGGAAGTGTCTGTGCCAAAGAAGACAACAGAGCTAAGGCATCCTGGTCGGTCCCTGTAGCAGCAGGATCGGAGTCCCTTCCCACCCCCCGAATTCACATCCACCGGGAACATGCGAACAGGAAGTCATTCGGAAACAGGGCGTCTGCAGATGGGAGTAAGTGAAGGATCTGAGATGAGCCCATCCTGGATGAGGGGGGCCCTGAATCCAATGACCGGTGGCCTTGTAAGAGACGGAAGGGGACACACGGACAGAGGAGAAGCCACGTGAAGACAGATGCATACACGGGAGGGACGCGGCCACGAGCCCAGGGATGCCTGGAGCCCCAGAAGCTGGAAGAGGCAGGAAGGACCCTCCCCTGGAGCCTCTGGAGGGAGCACAGCCCTGCCTGGATCTCCATGGTCCTGCCCCCCCTGGGTCTCAGTGGCCCTGCCCTGCCTGGATCTAAGTGGTCCTGCCCCCCCTGGGTCTCAGTGGTCCTGCCCCCCCTGGGTCTCAGTGGTCCTGTCCCACCTGGGTCTCCGTGGTCCTGCCCCCCCTGGATCTCAGTGGACCTGCCCCTCCTGGATCTGAGGGGCCCTGCCCTTCCTGGATCTCAGTGGCCCTGCCCCTCCTGGGTCTCAGAGTTGTGACTTGCATGGCTGAGCAGAGAGTAAATGACTGGTCTGTGGTCGTTTGTTACCGCAGCCTCAGGACAGGCTCACTGGCATGGAGAGGCAGATTTTTACAGGTCACACGGACAGTCAGGCTGCTGAGCAGGAGGATGTGTCCCTGGAGGGCGCGTCGGTGCCTGTTTAGTCCCCGCTGCATTCCCAGGGCCTGGAACAGAGCCCGCCGGGAATAAGCGCTCACAAAGCAGCAACACTGTATCATCCGCTGGAGAGGAGGCAGGGTTGGGGAACGAACCCTGAATCCTCACGTCCCTCAGGAGACAGCGTGGAGGCAGTTAAGCTGCACGTCATGTTTATTCTGTGCAGGGTTGGGGGGGAGGGGAGGCTGCAGGGGTTCACCGACCCTCTCCCCTGCTGGCTGGAGCGGCTTGGTGAATATTCAGGTCCTTGCAACATAGGGGCTGCAGGAAAGAGCTCACAGTGCCTGGTTTTGTGTGTGTGTTTTTAATGTTTATTTAATTTTGAGAGGCACAGAAACACAATGTGAGTGGGTTAGGGGCAGAGAGAGAGGGAGACACAATCCGAAGCAGGCTCCAGGCTCCGAGCCGTCAGCACAGAGCCCGACGGGGGGCTCCAACTCACGAGCTGTGAGATCGTGACCTGAGCTACACGGAGCTACCCAGGCGCCCCTCCAAGCGCCCGTGTGAACATTCAGTCTTTCGGAGCCGGGCCATTGAACCGCATGCATATGTTACTTTGAAAAACCCAGAATGTTACAATAGGGAGGGAGCAAAGGCCCGGATCCCACGTCCGTCAAGTGCGTACAACCGACAGCAGGAGACGCAGCGGAAGCCAGCCACTTGTGTCACTGTTGTGTCCCTGTCTCTTCTGTCCCTTTTCTGCGGATCCCCCTTTGACAAAATCGGCAGGGGCCTCTGGTGGCTCAGGCAGCTTAGCGTCCGACTCCTGGTTTCGGCTCAGGTCCGTGAGATCGAGCCCCGGGATGGGGTCTGTGCTGACTCTGGGGGGCCTGCTTCGGATTCCTCGTCTCCCTCCCCCTCTGCCCCTCCCCCTAAAACAAATAAACTTTTTAAAATTAAACACACACACACACACACACACACACACACACACACACAGAAAAGGAGCAAACATACACTAGTTTCCTCCCGGCCTCTTTTGATCGAGGGTGCTGTTTGCTTGGCCTGGTTTCTCCATCATGAACGCCTCCCCCAAAGTAGTTCCGAGCGCCCATCGTCGCTGACTGGCCGTGCGCTGAATCTTGCCCACGACTCCCTCTGGCTCTGTTGTCCGCAGGCGGTGGCCTCCTGGTGGTTGAGACGGCCCTGGACGAACGGCGAGCGGCCCGGGCCAGCCTGCCGGCGGCCTTGAACGCGCTGGTGCGGGCCCAGGGCAGGGAGCGCAGCCTGGCCGAGTACCGCAGCCTGCTGGGGCAGCATGGGTTCTGGGACGTGCAGGTGGCGCAGGCGGGGGACAGGCTGGACGTGGTTCTGGGCACCAGAGCGTCGTCGGCGCCCTGAGGCTGCCAGCGCGTGACGCTCTCCCGGGAGGCTGATGGGGGGTGGGGTGGGGAGGGGGCTGGAAGTTGGGCGTCGGGTGCAACAGTTACTCGGATCAGCTTGTGTAACCAGGCGGATTAAACCAGCAAAACGCACTTGCTCTGAGCTCCTTGGTGGGTCCTGGTCGCGTGGGCAGGAGGGCCGTGCCCTCAGGCGCTCATCTGAGGCCCCGGCCACTTGGCTGGAGACTCCCTCCCCGCGCCCCCCCACTTCCTGGCCTCTGGAAAGGCCTGGAGTCCCCCAGGGGAGCGGTGGAAGGGACCCTCCGGCTCCCGCTCGGGGACTGCGCGTGTTCCTCGTTCACGCCTGTTCTACATGTGTTTCTGCGCGTGACTTACAGCAGGTCGACCCTGGGCGCCACGTGTCCCACGCTCTCTGCCGGGATGCTGAGGGGGATCCTGGGGCGCCCCGTGTCCCACACTCTGTGCCCAGATGCTGGGGGGGGGATCCTGGGGCGCCCCGTGTCCCGCGGTCTCTGCCCGAATGCTGGGGGGGATCCTGGGGCGTCCTCTCTCCTACCCTCTCTGCCCAGATGCTGACCGTAGGGCCGCTTCCGTCCACAAAAAGCATCACAAGTCGTGTCTAGGGAGCTGGTGGTTCAGGTGACGGTTTGACAGGTCGAGAGGCCTGCTGGCCACCTGTGTCCCCAAGCGACCTATTTCCCACTCGAGTCTGCTGGGTATTTCGCTAATTTCTCTCGTCGTCAGGCCATCGTACGATGATTATAAAAACACACACGGACACCTTCATTGATTTATTTCCTTATCTTGAATGTTTATTTTTGGGGGAGAGCGAGAGAGCCAGCAGGGGAGGGGCAGAGGTAGAGAGAGAGCATCCCAAGCAGGCCCCGCACTGAGCCCGATGCGGGAGTCGATCTCAGCAGCCTGAGACCATGACCTGAACCCAAGTCCAAGGCTCAAAGGACTGAGCCCCCCAGGCGCTGATGGGAGTCATTTCGCTCACACTTTCCGCCTACAAGCCACTGTACCTAACTCATAAAAATACACAATTACACACAAATTAGTTTCCCCTGTGTACAAATGTGTTTTATATAAATAAGATACATTGTGTGTGTTTTATATAATTCTGTAGCTACGCACTTATAATGTATATACTACATGTGGATTATAATTCTAGATTTCCACACAGACATTAATTCTTTTTTCTCTAATTTTCTTAAATTTTGTATTTTTGAGAGAGAGACACACGCATACACAGAGTGTGATCGAGGGAGGAGGAGACACAGAATCGGAAGCGGGCTCCCGACCCCGAGCTGTCAGCGCGGAGCCTGACGCAGGGGTTGAACTCAGGAACCGTGAGATCTTGACCTAAGCCGAAGTCCGACGCTGAACTGCCTGAGCCCCCCAGACTATCCCAATTTTTTTTTTTTTTTTTTAAATCAGAAGTCGTGTGTCCGAGGGAGGCTGCGATGGAAAAAGGAATGAAAGGCTGATCCGAGGGGAGGGGCGGTGCGGTCCGGTGGGTTGGGGGGGGGG